CCTTTTAGTTTTCGCTGTCATTTTTCATGAATGGACACTTCCTGATATCTGAGGCAGGAAACATATATGGTGTTTTTGGGGTGGTAATTATGCTAATCTCCTCTCGCGTGCACGAGCAACTGGGTACGAACAGGTGGAATTTACGCAGCTCATTTACACACTTTTCCTGAAGATAGAAGAGTTTGTTGAATCCGACATGACATGTTCGTACGAACCCTTCGTACGAACAAAAGTAAGAGAAATTTAGGATAAGAATACGAACATGTTCTTGCATGAGGCCCTTTGTCTCTGAGAGGCAGGTGGGGGTGACAGGCTCATTGACATCATTAATAGTCCTAAATAAAAGATTCTGTCATGATTTGGGTTTTGCTGGTCTAACAACAATCGGATAGTGTGACAGCACATCTTTTAACAAGTTAAAGGGAATCTGTAGTTTATTCTTCTGTCAAAGAATGACAATAATAACCACAGAGCACTTTTTCTGTCATGCTGCAATAACCTATTCAAAAGCAGATGGGGAATAAGACAAGCTAAAGAGCAATGATGACCTGCTAGACCTCAGTGATGAAATGTGCATCAAATAAATAAATAAATAAATAAATAAATAAATAAATAAATAAATAAATAAAACAGGACTGAATACAGACATACTGTACATGAGGGAACTGAATAGAGGAGCATCACACTCACAAACTGTTCCAGCCTTAGCATGAGATTCAAAGACCAGCACTGCAGCCAGCTCCTTCCGCACCTACAAACACATGAAATGAACAAATGAGCCTCTGCTGTACTTATAATTCTTGTTACAGTCACACTCCAACACCTGGATTGTTTTAAACATCGACGTTAGGAGAAAAGCAGTGACTGACCGAGGCAGAGAGGTGAGCAGCAGCCTTGACGTGGAGCAGCTCCTCGTAGATGACTTCAGTGTCCTCAGCACTTCTTTGACTGGGGCTGAAAACAGGACGAGACACAAAAACAACAAAATCATTTTCAGGGATCATGATGTTTACTTGGTTCTTGACTTTGTTATCAGAGCTTTGCAAACAGACCTTTTGCGTAGAATCATGGTGAGCAGAGCGTCTGGGCCCAGCTGACACAGCAGGGACAGAGCTTCCTGCAGCTCGTCCTCCAAGTCTTTCTCATTTGTCATGTGGTTCAAACCAAACTCAGAGTCCTGGAAGCGGTAGAACTGGGAATCCTTGTCATGGAAGTTCAACTCATGTTTTACTGAACAGATACACATCGAAGAAGAAACAAAATATCTGATAGTGTTCAAGTGATAATATAAAACAAATATTTAAAAGACAAACAGGCAAACAACAGTAAAGCAAGAAAATACATTTTAACATTCAGGAAATTATATTTTTAAATTCGAACAAAAAAAMCCCCACTCCAAATAAATGATAATAAATGCAAACTATTTCTGAGAGATTTCCTTCCTGTCTTGATTAAGCATTTTTGTTCTGATTGGAGTGGTCACTATCAGGAAGGCAGAGCTTCAACCAACACGCCCAAAGAGTCAATGAAGACTTGACTGAGTGAAAAACCATCGTGAGTCAAACACCATGATGTTTGTCCAAATCAAATCTGAAGACAATGAAGCACTTCTGGAGATTTTTGAGTACAACTGCAGTGATTACAGTCAGAATACTGTATCTTACGGGTATCAAATTTGACAGGAATAAATCTTCCTGTATTTAATGGCCTGATCGTGTATCTTTTAATAACTTTAAGAKGATAATTCAGATTTTGTGTGGTGTGATTGTATGGAGTATACTTCTGAGCAGTCCATAGTTTACCTGCAGTGAAAACCTGTTTTTAAATTTGGATTTTCACAATCTGGAAATTTCAAACCTCAAACATTTTATAGGCTCTAAATTATAGCAATTTTGTGGATTTTTACACTGAAACACATTTGGATCAAATACTTGAGTATTAGTACAATTAAAGTATTTGAATAACACCGAAATTCAACTATGTTGAACATGCTCTAAAAGCATGTAAGTTCATTATACTGTGCACTCCAATGACAACACAAATCTGAGTAAATAACCACCTGACACACTTCTCTGGGAAACTTTCAGGGGGAGGCATCCTAATCGGATTCCTGAACCACCTCAGCTGACTCTTTAATGCAGAGGAGCAGCAATAATGAAGCTCCTCACTATTTTTAGAGCTAATCTCAACCACCCTAAAGAGGAAGCTCATTTCAGTCTGAGAGTTTGTTCTTTCTGTCATGCTTTAGTGGAGGGCTAGAACAAAAACAGACCAATAAATTGTGTGTATGAAATGGTGAATGATAGGAGTGAAAAAGCCTTTTAGAGTACATAGAGACGTGATAAAATGCCACATAAGGCTACATTTGCATCGCAGGTCTTAATGCTCAATTCATATTTTTATGAAAAAATCAGATTTTTTGTCGTGAACGTTCGCATTACATTTTAAATGCAACTTCCATCAGACTCCAGTGTGAACACTACACAGCACCGATGTGACCCGCATGCACGATAAAAGACGTGACGTCTCATTCAGCTAGCTGTTTGTTTACAGAGTTAGCATGGACGCTAATTTTAGCACGTCGAAACTGAAGTTATTGTTCAACCAGAGCCGATTAAAAAATTATCTGACATGCTTGTTTAGTTCAGTGTTTGTACCAGAACCTGCCTCTGACCGGATGCTCCGGCAAAGCATTTTATTTCTGGAACAAAGCAACAATCTGGAAATAAAGTATCGATCGAGTAACTTTAGGATCGATACGCTCCACGACCCAGGCTGGACGTTACTATCTACATGGAAAATTAAAAGTAAAAAAAGGAAGCATCTGGACTTGTGTTTTGGAGCTGTAAACACATGGAGCTACAGATTTGAACAGCCTGACTTGAGGTTAGTGTCTTTATCGATCCTTCACCTGCACCTCAAGCCGGGTTCCCACCAAACATGTTTTGAGCAGCAAAAATGCACCCAACGCCTCAAGTTGGAAACACTTTCAGTGTGAACGCAGCAGCAGACTAGACGCACGTCTGAAGAGGGAGGAGCATCTTGGTTTTTTCTGGTTTGTCTTTAATGGTGGATGAAATAAAGAYGAAATAAAGAAAATGRCTTTTCTTTATTCACTGAAGAGCAAGGGAACGATGCTCACAGCAGATAATTAATTCACCAGATAAATTAGAGATGGTCGATTCGGTTCGTTTCTCCACTCCAGGAGCTGCAAGMTGACAATTTTTTTGTCCYGAGCACAGTTTAAYAAGCTGCTGACCCACATCAGTGCTGATATCTCCAGCCAGAACACCAACTGCAGACSGTCGATTTCAGCTAAAGAGCTCCTGTCCGTCTGTTTCGGGTTCAGGAAACCGTCATGTGGAAAAAATTTTCTCTCTCATTGGTTGTTGCGGCACGTCGAGCAGCCAAAGTTCAATTTTTTAAACTTGAGCAGCGGCTGCTTTGCACGGAAAACACTGCYGCATCCTACCGCTACCTTGTGCGCCGCGCTAAACTGGCAAAATGCACCATGTTGCTCCTAGATGCACGTCCACCATAGACTTTGCATGTAAACTGCTTTGGCTGCTCAAAACCYGTCCGGTGTGTACCCAGCTTTACTGATGAAAAAGTTGGATGGAATGTGACATGAGCGTTCACACTGCAGTTGCTTTGAAAACATCAGATAAGTATCCGATTTAGAACCACATACTGAAACGGCCTGGGTCGGATTTGAAAAAATCGAATTTGTCGCGTTCAGACTGTCATAAAAAAATCGGATATGAGTCAGATGGGTCAAAAAAAATTGGA